TGGAGATGCTTTGCCTTTAAAAAATGCCGAAGCTGAGGCTATATTTAAAAGAAGATGTCCAACATTATACAAAGAATACAAAGGAGAAGATGGACAAGGTAAGGCAAATATACTATAATCTGAGTTACTTACTTAAATTTGTTTGTACATAAATTACGAAATCATTTTTTACAGCTGAGTTAGAATTATGTTGTGATGCCGCACAAATTGTTACCATGGACCAGGGTATCTCACAAGCGGATGGTATCTATTCTCGCTGTCCCACTTGTGTTTTAAATATGGGTTTAGCTATTTGTTCCATGACTTGCGCCAAAAATCATAGTCTTTTTCTGACACCCTATACGGAATTCAATAGCGCTAATGAGGAGTATGTCAAAAGTATAGACTACCGGGTGGAGGAAACATTTGTAGAGAAAATCTATGATACATGTAAGGGTATACAACATTCGCAGACGGGTAGACCAGCCATGGATTTGGCTTGTGCCCCCTATAATGCTCGTTCTTGTGATTATCGCAAATGGTTTAATTTTATGGGTGATACAGAGATCAATGAGTACGTACCTTTTCCCATCAAATATATTTACCTAAACGAAAGTTCGGATGAGGAACGTTTAGAGCTGTTTCCTTTGGAATGTTCTGAGGCTTATGAAAATTCACATGCCTGCGCCTGTATGGATTGTTCCGACTCCTGTCCCTTAACTGAAATACCCATAGCCTATGAGGATGTTTTTCATTTGGTGGGCTTGTATGGTATAGCAGTATTTGTAATAATAGTGGTGGCTTTAGTGGTTTTTGAAAAATGTCGTTCTAAACTGAATTTACCCAAATGTTTCGCTGGATTTGGTTGTGCTGATAGTTTGCTCTATAAAGGTTTCCGTAGTTGGGGAGCTTTCTGTGCTAAAAATCCTGTTTTAGTTTTAGCCATTTGTTCTTGGGTTATTGGCGGTTTGGGTTATGGTATTACAAAAATGAAGGTTACCACAGATCCGGTACAACTATGGGCCGGGGAAGATAGTCAAACTAGGCAAGAAAAGGAATATTTTGATTCACACTTTGGTCCCTTCTATAGGACAAATCAACTTTTTATTAAACCTACCAATAAGGATTTTGTAAGTAATAGAGATTTTAAAAAATTTATATAGTTTTTAAAATAATTATTCTTTTTAGTTTACCCATAATACCACCGATGGTAATATAACCTTTGGTCCGGCTTTCGAGAAAAGTTTTCTGCTGGAAGTTTTTAAGTTACAAGAGGCCATTGAGCAGATAGGCGTAGAAGATGGCATTGGTTTGGATAAAATCTGCTATGCTCCGGTTCTTTACCCTGGAGAAGTGGGCACTATTAAAAGCTGTGTGGTCCAGTCGATTTATGGTTATTTCCAAAATGATCTGGAGTTATTTGAAACAGAATATGAGGATGAGTTTGGTTATACTATTAACTATTTAAATCATTTGGAAGAATGTTTAAAGTAAATATGGGTTTTGGAGTATTCCAAAGTTATGAAATTAACTTCCATTCTTACTTGTTAGTGTCCCCATGATGGAAAATTGTTTTGGTGCCTATGGCGGTCCCATTGAACCGGCTATAGCTGTGGGTGGTATGCCCAAAGTAAAGCCCGATGAAGACCCCAATTATTTGCTGGCTACCGGTTTGGTTATAACATTTTTGGGTAAAAATCAAAATGATGAAGAACTATTGGAGCCGAATTTGGAATGGGAAAAACGTTTTATAGATTTTATGCAAAACTATACAAACAATAAGCTGGATGTAGCTTTTTCGGCAGAACGTTCAATACAAGATGCCATTGTAGAACTTTCCGAAGGTGAATTCTCCACAGTACTCATCAGTTATCTGGTAATGTTTGTCTATGTGGCCATAGCCTTGGGTAAAGTGCGAAGTTGTATGAGTTTCTTCCGTGAATCTAAAATCATGTTGGCTGTTGGTGGCATTATCATTGTGTTAGCCTCGGTGGCCTGCAGTTTGGGTTTTTGGGGTTATTTAGATGTGGTCACTACCATGTTGGCCATTGAGGTTATACCTTTCTTGGTTTTGGCTGTGGGTGTTGATAATATTTTCATTATGGTCCATACCTATCATCGTTTGGAGCGTCAAAAGTATGCTAATGTAGCAGAGGCTATAGGAGAAGCTATAGGTCAAGTGGGTCCTTCTATTTTACAAACGGCCACCTCGGAAATAGCTTGCTTTGGCATAGGTGCCATTTCGGATATGCCTGCTGTAAAAACGTTTGCCATGTATGCTGCTATGGCCATATTTTTTGATTTTCTATTCCAAATTACTGCCTTTGTTGCTTTAATGGCTTTAGATGAACGCCGTTATGAATCGGGTCGTTTGGATTTGTTTTGCTGCTGTAAAGTGGGTAAACAGCCAGAGATGGATAATTCTGTAAGCTTATTACAGAAGTTCTTTACCAAGTTCTATGCTCCCTTTTTGTTGTCCAAGTAAGTTGCTTTGTTGCACTATAAAATTTTAATATTCTAATTAAATTTTCTTTTGCAGACCCACGAAAATCATAGTTTGTATATTATTCTTTGTGATAACGTCTTTATCTTTGACGGTTACTCCTAATTTGGAATTGGGTTTGGATCAGGAAATGTCTATGCCTAAAGATTCTCATGTTATTAAATACTTCCGTTATATGGATGATTTATTGTCTATGGGTGCTCCGGTTTATTGGGTTATTAAACCCGGTTTGAATTATACAAATCGTTCTCATCAAAATTTAATTTGTGGTGGTGTGGAATGTAATAATAACTCAATGTCGGTGCAGTTATACACCCAATCACGTTATCCGGAAATGTGAGTATAATTTTTATAAAAATGTTAAAGAATGAGTGATAAATAGTGTCTGGATATAAGTGATAAAAGATCAGTAAATTTGAGTTAACCTATATAGCTATAATTGTTGTAAAGCAAAATTTCAGATCTTTTCCCTTTTTTTAATTCCGATCACAGTATTTCAGAATTATTCCTTGCAATAAACTCATTCATGAATATTATTTTAAAACTTTCAGCACCTATCTTGCTCGTCCTGCTTCATCCTGGATCGATGATTATATCGATTGGTTAGCTATTGCCGATTGTTGTAAGATGAACTCAACAGATGGTACTTTTTGTCCCAGCAGTAAGTTTTTCATATACATATAAAAATATAAAGGAATATTAAAAATTCTAAGGTTTCTTTTTTGGAAAATTTAGATTCCAAAGAAGATGAATGTGTTCCCTGTAAACGAGAATTTATGGAAGATGGTTTACGACCAACGGAACACACATTTAGAAAATACTTGTCATATTTCCTTTCCGATTTGCCAGATAACGAATGTGCTAAAGCTGGTCGTGCTTCATATGCAGATGTAAGTTGAATTTTTATCTATCTATCTATCTATCTATCTATCTATCTATCTATCTATCTATCTATCTATCTATCTATCTATCTATCTATCTATCTATCTATCTATCTATCTATCTATCTATCTATCTATCTATCTATCTATCTATCTATCTATCTATCTATCTATCTATCTATCTATCTATCTATCTATCTATCTATTATCTATCTATATATCTATCTATATATCTATCTATATATCTATCTATCTATCTATCTATCTATCTATCTATCTATCTATCTATCTATCTATCTATCTATCTATCTATCTATCTATCTATCTATCTATCTATCTATCTATCTATCTATCTATCTATCTATCTATCTATCTATCTATCTATCTATCTATCTATCTATCTATCTATCTATCTATCTATCTATCTATCTATCTATCTATCTATCTATCTATCTATCTATCTATCTATCTATCTATCTATCTATCTATCTATATATCTATCTATCTATCTATCTATCTATCTATCTATCTATCTATCTATCTATTATCTATCTATCTATCTATCTATCTATCTATCTATCTATCTATCTATCTATCTATCTATCTATCTATCTATCTATCTATCTATCTATCTATCTATCTATCTATCTATCTATCTATCTATCTATCTATCTATCTATCTATCTATCTATCTATCTATCTCCATCTATCTAAGTTTTAACCACGATTTCTTTTTATTTTCCTTTTTCCAGGCTGTCATCTATACCTTGGATAACAATGGCTTAAGTGACATAGTGGATACCTACTTCATGCAATACTCCACCACCTCTACCACTTCCATACAATTCTATTCAGCCCTAAAAGAAGCCCGTCGTGTAGCCAGTGAAATCAATGAAATGTTCAAGGAAAACAATGTGGATGCCACCATCTTCCCCTATTGCGTATTCTTTATATTCTATGAACAATACCTGACCATTTGGGATGATGCCATATATTCTTTGGGAATATCCTTACTAGCCATTTTTTTGGTCACCTTCATTATAACTGGCCTAGATATTATTTCCGCCTTATTACTGCTCTTCATGGTTCTAATAATATTAATAAATATGTGCGGCATGATGTGGGCTTGGAGCATAACTTTGAATGCCATTTCCCTGGTTAACTTGGTGGTGTCAGTGGGTATTGGTGTGGAATTTGTTTCGCATATTATACGTTCCTACAAAAATGCTGTCGGTACAAAAGATGAACGTGCCCAACACGCCTTGTCGGTAACGGGTAGCAGTGTTTTGTCTGGTATTACTCTTACCAAATTTGCAGGCATTATTGTTTTGGGCTTTTCGAATTCCCAAGTTTTCGAGGTATTCTATTTCCGCATGTATTTGGGTATAGTTTTAATTGGAGCAGCTCATGGTTTGATATTATTGCCGGTGTTGTTGAGTTTTTATGGGCCTCGCGGTCCCCGCAAGAAGGATGTGGAAAGTTATGATTTAAGTTAGAATATAGGAAACTGTGTTTATTTCCTTAAGTACAAGTATATTAAGAAAGTTTAGTATTAAGTTTTAACTTTAGTTAATTAATAACTAGTTTATAAGAATAAAATTATTTCTTTTTTTTATTTTAAAATTTGTTAATTTCTTTTATTGCAAAAAGAATCTCAAACCATTAAATGCTGGTCTGGCATTTGCTCTATCACTTTCCAGTTTTTCGCCATACACTGTTAAACAGCATCTTTGTTTGGGAGCATTTATGAAATTTAATTCTTTGAGTAAAGCTGGTCTATTAACAACTTTTGGCATCCAGCCATAGACATTCGCTTCGGTATCATGTTTATAGGAGGTTCCATATACAAATGGTATGTAGGTTGAGTGATTTTGAGGTATCTGCTGCTCATGTTTGGCATGGAATTTGGTAGATAAATAGTGTGCTGTAAAAGGTGATTGGAAAGGAAGAAACTTGGTCAACTGAATTTAGTTATTTCTATAGTGTTTAAAAATTTAAAGTTTTTTAATCATGTTATCGATTAAGTATATTTTTTGTTGTTTCTAAAAAACTGCTATTAACGTTACAACCTAAAGAAAGTTAAAATGCCTTTAAGAGTCAGTTCACTCTCTTATTCGAGTTATTTTGTGAATCTTGAGATACACATACATATGTACATGGATATGTATCTACGACAATTGGATCTTATGTCCGATGCGAGCCGAGATACTCGTTCAAAGATCGTTCAAAGATCAGCGACAGGTATAAAAACTGAAAGTTTTTTCCAGGAAAGATCTTTAGTGTCATGTCCCCATGACTGGGACTATTTATCTACCTATCTATCGGAAACAATTTGGAAAATATTTAAAATCAAGTGGTCCCACCCACTTAGACCCCCATTAATAATATTTAATTTCGTATTGTAAATTCCAATTTTTTAAAATAATACTTACTATTTCTGGATGGTCCAAATCGATCCATTATATGTATATGTTTATTTTGTTTATTTATCAACTCCTTTTCAAATAGATAATCCAATTCTTTAGGCAAATCTTCTGGCACTACTACCGTTACAGTTTTACCTTTATTCATTTTGACTTTAATGTCACTAGAACGAGTAGTATTTGAATTGGAACTCATTATCTTTATTATTATACTTTAGATAGTAAAAGTAAAACTAGTAGTACCATTTGCTGTAAACATGAAATGGCAACTAAACGAAAAGAAACCACTGCAATGTAAATATCAGAATAAATAACTTGTAGTTGCAGGAAGACGACAATACGACCGCGATTATTATTATGTTCAAAGTTTTTTCTTTGCCTTTCCTATAATTTACAAAAAAGACTACAGTAGTCCCTGTAAAAGTAAGGTAATAATTTTGAGTTTGGGTACTTAGGTTGCCAATGGTTAGAATTTACGGAATTTAAAGAAAAACAAAATCAATACACTAATGAGATCTGGCTATATATTCTACTAATTTTCCTAAGTATAGAAATATTTTTAATAAAAAGAGCCAACTGTAATTTGTTTAATTCATGATGCTCATAAATGTTGTTGTACATTTTAGCCACATTTATAAAGTTGCACGCTGACAGGTGGTAGCATGGGTAATGACAATGTGGCACGGGGTGGGTTGTTTGGGTTTTGTGTATTCAATTCCTAATTGTCACTATCAATATTAGTTTTACATAAATCACGCATTGGAGTACTATTTTGGTATGATTTGTTTCGTAAACTGTTGCAAATACTTTTTTTGAATAAATTTATTACTAGGATGAACTGAATATGCGCTACCATCCCACCGCCCAACCAACCAAACAGCACGACCCACAAAGTTTATTACCAATATATTTTGCGTTTGGTTTTTCGCCCGCAGAAAGTTATAAATATTTGTTTTGTTATTATTTGTTTCGGAAAAGTTTTAAATTGAATTCATTTTTAGTTTATTATTGTGTAGGTAACTCTCATAATAAGTCTACTAATTCTGAAGGAATTTTAATTCATATTAAAGCAAATAAATGCATTTTTGGAATTCTTGAATTATTCTCGATCAAAGGTTTATTTTTCGAAGTTATGGTAGAATTAAATAAGAAATCTTATGTATATAGTTTATTTTAATTTCGCTATCATAATTTGAAACTACTGATAAGATTTTATTGTTCTTAGTTCGATTTCATTCTATTTTCTCTTTTATTTCTGTAAACTAAGTATTCGAAAGGAAAACTTTGTCGCTGTCGACCAATTTAATTTTTGTTAAAGTTTAATTTCTGTTTGCCATATAGTGCCAAGCGTGCTGCTTCGATTCGTACTTATTAAATTGCTATAAATGTGGTAAATACGTCAGAGCACAGTGTGACCAAAAAAGTTTCTCTTTTATTTATAAACTTTTTTCCAATTAGGGTAATCACAGTTTAGATTTATCGTTTAAAATATTTGCAAAGTAAAAATGGCCTTTAACAAAAATGTTTTTGCAGTATAAGACAAATTAGAACTGAAGTAGAACTGAACTAGAATTGAACTAGAACTGAACTAGAACTGAACTAGAACTGAACTAGAACTGAACTAGAGCTAAACTAGAACTGAACTAGAACTGAACTAGAACTGAACTAGAACTGAACTAGAACTGAACTAGAACTGAACTAGAACTGAACTAGAACTGAACTAGAACTGAACTAGAACTGAACTAGAACTGAACTAGAACTGAACTAGAACTGAACTAGAACTGAACTAGAACTGAACTAGAACTGAACTAGAACTGAACTAGAACTGAACTAAAACTGAACTAAAACTGAACTAGAACTGAACTAGAACTGATCTAGAACTGAACTAGAACTGAACTAGAACTGAACTAGAACTGAACTAGAACTGAACTAGAACTGAACTAGAACTGAACTAGAACTGAACTAGAACTGAACTAGAACTGAACTAGAACTGAACTAGAACTGAACTAGAACTGAACTAAAACTGAACTAGAACTGAACTAGAACTGAACTAGAACTGAACTAGAACTGAACTAGAACTGAACTAGAACTGAACTAGAACTGAACTAGAACTGAACTAGAACTGAACTAGAACTGAACTAGAACTGATATAGAAGTGAACTAGAACTGAACTAGAACTGAACTAGAACTGAACTAGAACTGAACTAGAACTGAACTAGAACTGAACTAAACTGAACTAGAACTGAACTAGAACTGAACTAGAACTGAACTAGAACTGAACTAGAACTGAACTAGAACTGATCTAGAACTGAACTAGAACTGATCTAGAACTGATCTAGAACTGAACTAGAACTGAACTAGAACTGAACTAGAACTGAACTAGAACTGAACTAGAACTGAACTAGAACTGAACTAGAACTGAACTAGAACTGAACTAGAACTGAACTAGAACTGAACTAAAACTGAACTAGAACTGAACTAGAACTGAACTAGAACTGAACTAGAGCTGAACTAGAACTGAACTAGAACTGAACTAGAACTGAACTAGAACTGAAATAGAACTGAACTAGAACTGAACTAAAACTGAACTAGAACTGAACTAGAACTGAACTAGAACTGAACTAGAACTGAACTAGAACTGAACTAGAATTGAACTAGAACTGAACTAGAACTGAACTAGAACTGAACTAGAACTGAACTAAAACTGAACTAAAACTGAACTAAAACTGAACTAGAACTGAACTAGAACTGATCTAGAACTGAACTAGAACTGAACTAGAACTGAACTAGAACTGAACTAGAACTGAACTAGAACTGAACTAGAACTGAACTAGAACTGAACTAGAACTGAACTAGAACTGAACTAGAACTGAACTAGAACTGAACTAGAACTGAACTAGAACTGAACTAGAACTGAACTAGAACTGAACTAGAACTGAACTAGAACTGAACTAGAACTGAACTAGAACTGAACTAGAACTGAACTAGAACTGAACTAGAACTGAACTAGAACTGAACTAGAACTAAACTAGAACTGAACTAGAACTGAACTGGAACTGAACTAGAACTGAACTAGAACTGAACTAGAACTGAACTAGAACTGAACTAGAACTGAACTAGAACTGAACTAGAACTGAACTAGAACTGAACTAGAACTGAACTAGAACTGATCTAGAACTGAACTAGAACTGAATTAGAACTGAACTAGAACAAATTATGAGATTCAGAATTGCAAATTCTTCATATGATTACATACTTTAACATCCAAGGGAAAATAATTGCAATTTCCCGTATCTTTCCAATTAAAACTCAAGGTCCTTTACTTATTTCTCTTTTCGTAATTTAATATTAAATTATAAATATTTTCGAAATATTCATATTCATTGTATATTCTAATAAATTTGCATTACTTACAAACCTTATGGATAATAATAACGATAAGCGAAACGTTCAATAAATTTCGGGCGAGGACATGTTAGAACATTATAATGCACTGGAATGTCTGCAGTTAATTTCTGCAAGGATTTGCGAGTTTTCTGTATCAGGTCACTGGCATCGAACTGTAGTTTTTGCGGTGTTGTCTTTCGTAATATAGTGTGAACAAGTTGTGACCACACCGAGTCATAAGAATTATTATCGTCATTTGCTTGCAGCGAGGATGAAGAGGAGGAATTTGATTGAGTATCGGCAGTTATGGTATTATTGTAAACCTCTTTATTGGCCTTATAACTGGGCGAGGTTTTATTTACTTGAGGTTTAGCCACTATTAAATCATCATTGGGTGTAGGGATATTTGTTTGGAGGGATTATCATTTTCTGTTGCTTTTGGTTCTGTTAAAACCTTTTGCTGTTTACCACTTTCCACCATTAGACTTTGTAATTTATCAAAGGTATCTATCATACGTTTTTTAAATTCCACAACACGTTTGGCTTGTGCAAATAATTTCAATTGCTGCGGTTTGTTGTGGGTTTCTAAAGGTAGATCTAGAATTTCTTTGGAGTCTAATAAAGGTTTAAAACTTCTTTGTTTCTCATTGGTGCCATTGATGAGTATGTTGAGCAGAAATGTTTGCATATCTGTGGTATTTACCAGTGAACGTGAGTATTCCAAATGTAAAGCATAAATTTTTTGCCATATGAAGTCATTGGCAGCATCGCTTTCATCACCATTAAGTACTAATAAAGTTTTATGTAACATTTGCCTGTTGTCTTCATCGAAACTGTGGAGATTTAGTTCCATGAGAAGCTTAACATTGACACGATATTCCTGCTGTAAACAGTAAAGATTCCAAAGGGTTTTAGTGGTACCTTCAAACTCTTTTTGGGTCCCTGAACCCAATAAATTGCTAATGTTTTTCTCGAATAATTGTAAACCCGATATAAAACCAGGATCTAAGGTGAAATTTTTTAAGAAACTCGAAGTATACTCCAAAACTTGTAAAGGGGTTTGAAAATTTTCTCTTTTTAAAGCAAAGAATTCCTGTAAGTCGGTAACAGTTAATTGATTGCGATTATCAGGGGTCTTCTTAGTGTCCTTTACCACCGGTGGAACATCATTTTTAATACGCTCAAAGTTTTCTACCAGAATATCACCAGCTGGTTTATTATCATCATCGAAGACCTCAATATCAACAGCTATACTAGGACTGGCAGCCGCTTTAGCTGGTGGTACAACTCTTTTGCCTTGTTCCTTTGATGTTTTAGACTTACAGTCACTAAAAGCTTCATTTTGCTGCAGTATAATGAGATCACGGTCTTTTTTTAACAAAGTAGAATCACTAAATTGTGAAAGATCTAAACCCTCAAATAAATTGATTTTATGATCATGACAACAATGCAAAGCAGACATATCAATAGGATGAGCCTCGGTATTAAAGATATAAGGACCAGCATCAATTAAACATTCACCACCATCGGAAGTTTTAATAATATTTCCCTTGGCGGCATCATTATGCAAAAAGTTATCATCATCAAACAGTAAATACAAATATTTAGTGGTTTCAGCCAAGAAGAATGATTCCATGCGATTTTCTTTTTCATGGGTAACAACATTGCGTATCTAAACAAATTGGGAAAAAAGCTATTAAAAAGCATAATTTTTGTAATAAATTTACTTACCGTAGCATAACCACAACGTGTTTTAGCACTATGCTCTATAGTCTTCAGCATACTTTCTCCTAGTTCCAATAAAAACTCATTCTTTGTAGCTCGATACAAATACATGGCCGATTCCACTAGTTCAGGGCGCAAAGGATAACTTTCACGATTAGCCGAAGCTTCACCCGTGGGTATGTTATAGAATTCCGGCAGAAAACCATATTTTCTCCAAACACTAGCATAGTTTCGATAAGTTTTTATGGCCGCCTCCTTATCGCCTATCAAACTTAAAACACCCGGCCAGAAAGCCTCCAATGATTGAAAAACCGGCAAAGTAACCTGACCCTTATTCATGCCAGCCCAAACATACCAATCATCATGTCTTAAGAACTTATCTATGGAAGAGCGGGCCGCATGAAACATTTCCAATAGTTCAGGACGCTGCAAGAGTATGGCAGCCTTAACCATATATTCAAATAAAGAATCAACACCAGCACCAATGCCCGAATCTAAGGCAGTCCACCGACCACTTTGTACATCGATATGATTGCCAAATAAACCTATTGGAGAACGTCGATTCCACAAAGAATGTATGGCATTTAAAGCTACTTCTTCGTACACCGGATTACCGGTTAATCTGGAGAGCGTGCCGAATTCCACCAGTAAAGTGCCTACGCCTGCTGTACAAGTAATGGAAGTTTCACCTTTGGGGACTCCATAACGTAAATTAACAGTGCCATAAGGCATACCGGTGGCGGTATCAAAAGCGGGCAATAAACGTTTAGCCACATCTTCGGCCATGCGCAGGAGGGGTCCCTGGAAATAAGACAAATGATAATTCTGTTCTCCATTTCATACGAAATCAAAAGTTTTAAGACATAATGTCACTTGGAATAAATAATTTTAAAATATATTTAATACCTACAACTTACCTGACATGGCCAACCCTCTTCCAACTCCATGCCAGCCTTTTTGGACAATAAATGAGCCGACAACAAACCACCCACTATGCGTATATTCGTCTCAAACACCGACACGTTAATATCTTTATCAAAATCCATTTTCTGTTCCAATACCTTAACCACTCTACGGAACTCACTAAAATTACCCATGGTAGCCAAAGTATCTAAAGCATCAATCATGGTAAGAGAATAACTACCCCAAGTGTCCACACCATCACAAGTCAATGGTCTTAGCTCATCATAATCGGAAGCATAACGTAAATAACCTTCGTAAGCATGTGAAACATGCTACGCACCTGCTCCCTAAGACATTACAAAATGAAATTACCCTATTCCATTTCCGTTTTTATAATCATCATTGGCCAACTCACCTTAATTCTATTTTCTATCTTTGGTATAGTGCTTCAAGGCGTATGCATATTTCTCACTTAAGGGTATAACAACTAGTATTGCCAGGATTATAGAAACTAACGTTCCAAATTGTTGAAACAAGTGATAAAGCATTGTTGGCACAATAATTAAATTATGATGTGTTTACATTGAGGAAGCTAAACTAAAAATAACAAAAAAATAGTTGTAAAAATACAATAATATTCCAAAGAGTATGTTCAGTGCTGTCAAATGTGCCGGTAAACAATGGAGGGCTGCCATATGGTTTTCGTACAGTAATTCTAATAAGAATTTATATTAAATTAACAGACATGGAATTTATTAGCAAATAGGGATTACATTTCGTACCAAAGGGTACATTTATATATCATTTGTTATAAAATTACATTCAATTTTGTATTATTACTATTGTAATATTTAACAAATGTTTTAGGTAAATAGTATAAATTAACAATTAAATGGTTGTATCATGAAAAAATTAAATGGTTTTCTCAAAAAAAAAAAAAAAAAATAATTTATGAATTGTTAATAAAAAGGTTTTATTTTTATACATCTTCTGAATGAATATTCTGAACTTAACTTTATATTCAAGTATTAAAAGATTCTATTAGAAACGAAATTGAAATCATATCAAAAACAAGTAAGAATGTAAGTTGCGCATGGTCGAGCTTATGATACCCTACACCAATGAGTAGTATATTGAAAATTTGGATTATTATTAATATTATAGCATTAAAATTATTTTTACCTCTATTCCGAATAATTCTAACACTTTGATTTCAGAAAAAGTGATTTTCGATTTTTTTTTTTTTTTTGATATCGTTATTAAAGTTGGTTTACGTTTACATTTAAGTTATATATGCAGAATTTCATCGTGATACTAATGTTTATAAGTGAATTATTTACCATCAAGTAACTTTCAGTAGGATACTATGTATGGGAGCTAAGGTAAAATAATGCCCGGCAGTACGGTTGCATTTCAACAATTTTCAATAGGCTTGTTTCTTGGGCCAAATTTCATTATTGTGAGTGCGCACAATGTTTACATTAACACACAGGTGAAAATAGCTTATCGACTCAGAAAGTAATTCTAGCCGATTTGTGTTAAATTATGGCTTACCAAAACTATTTTTTTTTTCAACTTTATTTCAAAAATTATTTACTTTCCTAAATTCTAATACTACCAATTTTGCATCACTCTCCCAACACTTACACTAGTCTAATACTTTTTGATGCAACTCTGTATATAAATTGTCATGTTTTCAAAAATACGTCACACACTGAACATACTCTCACTGTAAAAATAAAAAAGTCGCTTTTTGTTTAAAATTTCTTACAAAAATTTCATTAAAAACGTTGAAAAACTAAAATTATTAAACTATTTCGTGAGTAAAAGTGCTTAAATAAATCAAAAGAGCTTATTTAAAGGTAAGTTTACATAAAAATTACATTAATAATAAATTGTGCATGGAAAATCATCAAATATAGAAGGAAGCTGCTTCTGGTGCTGCGGGGCCAGCCCAAGATTCTTGAATAGATATTTGGCTAAGCAAATGTATTTGTTTTTATAGACAATTTAATTGTTTTTCTTTATTGACATAGTAACTGCAGTAAACTGTAAATAGTTTTTGAAAATGTTGATATTTTAAATAATATTAGAAAACCACAATTTTAATGTGGTTGTTGTTGGTTCGTTGGGCCAGTGGACAAGATGGAATGTGTTGTAAATGGTTATAATGCTTTATAAAGAATAAAAGTAAAATTTCTTAAAATGTTTATTATTTATATAAAATTTACTGCTAAGTTTGCATAAATTTATTATATTTATAATTTTAATATATTTTAACGCAATTTTTTTCCAATTTCGTTACGTTTTTTTGACATTTATGTGTAATATTATCAGGGTTGTTATATTTGGGAGGTAATTAAGTTTAAGAGTTAGTCACATCATTTAAAGTAAATATGTACATAAAATTATGTATTTCGAAACGCAATAAGATGAAGCGAAGGTCTTCTAAACTTGATTGCTGGGACTGAATTTTCATTCAATGACTAATGTAGGAGTTGTCACAAAGAGAACATAAAAGACCCCGTAAAACACTTCCTTTGTCTCTGCCCTGCTTTAGCAGACATTAGGCAGTCGGATATTTTATGAAACTAGCGACTCTCTCATGAATTTAACACAAAAGGAAGATAGAGTTGATGTTGTTGTAACAGATTGGCTGTGACTGGATGTTCTTCCCTGGGGTAAAACTTCCGGTTGATACAGCTGTTGCTGAGTTGACAATCTTTGCCCGATTGAGAATCGGGTCCTTCCGGACCGGAATCCAATTGTCGAGGGAACGATAGAGTCGTTTATTCGTGCCTCTGATTGGTTCGATTTCATGTTGAGCCCGACATGTAATAGCCTAAGGTTGGGGTCGATCCGTTATAGGGTAGCATAAGCGGTGGACCTCTAATCTAACTCATGTCGCGAAAGATCTGGAAGCACAATCCCGATAGGACTTTCATTCTATAGGATATATTTAATATCTGTTCGTAAAGTTATCTTTACCGATACAAATTCGGTTTTCAAACTCAGAGAAAAGTCATCATGAATGTTTATAGAAGTCGAACTCTTGAAGTTTGTAAGCAATATCTTTTGAAAAGAACAAAGAAAACAATAGAATAATTTAAAAACACTATGCGAGTCTTTTCAAAAGAGATGATCAACCTTGATCTCTTAATTTCTTTAGTAAAATCTCCTCGGAATGAGGAAGAAGATGAAAAAATGCGAGCAATTTCGTTGCTTTGGTTCTGCTTTGTCATGGATTAGGACCTCTTGGAACATTTTTTAAAAAGAAATTCTAGTAAAAAAAATTCAAATCATTTATTATATAAATATGACGTTAGAATACCCTTATCCCTAAATTATATTAAAAACAATTTCTCCCTCAACCCTTAAATATCCCCAACAAACCCCCTAATTATCATCCGGTGGCATCACTATTATCACAATTTTTCCCTTGTGCTTAACATTACGTGACATTGAATAACGTATTTGTTGGTTTTTTATTCGTTGTCTTTGCGCTTTTACGTTCTTACACAATTTGACAGAACGCGAGACAATCGATATAATAGTTTTTTATAACTCGGTCGATATTTTCGTTTTCTTCTTGTTGAAAAGTTACAAAAAAAGGTGTAAAAATATTGCAAAAAAATACAAATATTTCATAAGAAAACATAAATTAACAAATACCAAAAGATTCATAACTATTTTGGAAATGTGAAAAATAAAAATGAAAAGAAATTAAACCTAAAAAATAAAATAAAACAAAATATAAATCAACACGACGTCGTCTACGTCTTAACAGAAATTTTTTCACAATATTTTTGTTCATTGTGGTGTGTGGTGGTGGTGAAGTGCACGACATTGAAGTTCCATAACTGCTGCTGTCTGCTGATGTCTACTACAACTACTGCTGCTGTACGTCGTCGTCGTCTCCCTGGTGTTTAAAAACATTTGTCATTTAATTGTACAAAAATATTTTTATTATTGCTGTCATTTGTTTTTCTTTGTGCTTTTTTGATGTTTTTTGTTGCTTGCAAAAACACCAAGAAAAAACAACAAACAGACCCTTGTTGGAGACTAAAAGACTGAAGTTCTAATTTTTCAATACGCTGGTCGTTTGATCGACGTCCCCACAAAAAACAAAAATAAAAAAGTAGTGCAGAAAAGTGAAAATTTAAAATATTAAATAAATTCTTCTAAGCAAACAATTATTGATCATTTCTGTAGTTGAAAACGAGAAAAAAACGAAAACAATTAAAAATAAAATATAATATTTGGCGAGTGTGCTACAGCAATTAAAAAATACACAACCAGGAAAAGGAGGAGGTGGTGGTGGAAGAGTAAGTTCTCTACTATAACTGCTGCTGCTGCTGTCACATAATTAAAAAAACATACAATGTTAGTTTAAAAGAAAAAGTACATTTTATTTTGTTCACTTTATTTGTTTATTAATTTTTTTCTTCAATTCTTTATTACGCCACAGGTATTATTTACTTTTTCTATTTTGTTTAATCATTCATTCATTCTTTATATGTTGGTTTGTCGTCTCGTGTGTTTGTTTTTTGGAAACTGTCACTCGCTCTAATTGCTCAAATGATGTGGTTTTTTCTTCTTTCCACATCTTCCTTCCAACTCCCCTTTTTGTTCATGACTGTTGTTTGTTATTATTATTAGATGTGGTAAATAGTTAATTAATTTATAGAAATTTCATTTTAATTGAGCTTCGACTGGGTGTTTTTTTAAAAGTTTTCATGCATTTTTCGAATGAAAACCACTTGATTCTGCTTAATAACAGTTGTGAGGGGAAATATAGGAATGAATTTTTATTTTTTTAATTGCGAAAATTAATACATTTTTGTTTTAATACTATACAATATTAAAGAGAAACATTTAAATGTTTAATTTCATAAAATGGTTAACGTTAGTTTGTATAAATTAGAATTAGTTTTGCTTGTATTATCTTCATAACTGCTATTCATTGAAAAATGTTACATAAGAAAGTAAATGTTATTTAGATGACAAATCTTTGTAATGATTAGTAATGATATGTGGGTCAGAAATGTTTTAGAAGAAAAATATTTAACTCTGTATTATTAAGTAGGCAGGTATTAGGGTCTTGAAGTGGCTGGAACATTGGCTGAAGTATTATAAAATATACAATATTTCCATCTACATATTTACTTACAGTAAACCAGCTGTCAAATTTCGAGCACCTTTTCTTTAAAGTCTCTTGATGAAATAATTTTTAACTTCGCTGAGTGCTAAGACATTCTTTCAAACCTGGCGATTAAGCCACAAATTTTGCTTAATACAAATTGTCATCCTTAAATTCATATCCCCGTTATTTAGTTTGACATGACAACTTTATGACTGCCGTAGATCGGCGTCGATGTTAGCGATATAATAGGCAACCATGTTGGACTATTTAATCTCTCACAATGAGGGCAACCTTTAGTACCAGTAGTTAGTGTCAGCATCAGGTCGTTCTGGTATATCTGACAATATAATTGCAAACAAATTGGACAAAACTTATTTTTTAACGATAACGACAATTAGACAATTTTGGTGAGAAGAAACATTTTTTGACAAAAAGTTGAATTTTTGGTACAAAACTGATTTTTATGAAAATTCGTATTATTAAAGAAATGTTTTCCAATTTTTTTGGCGAAAAAATCGACCGTTTGGGAAAAAATCGAAAAGTTCATGTTTATGAAAATTCGTATTTTAAAGAAAAATTAATTTTTTGGTGAAAACTTAACTTTTTTAGTCAAAAATATATATATTTTTATTTTTTTGGTAAAATCACGATTTTTGGTAAAAAGTCAATTGGTTGGTAAAAATGTCATTTTTGGCGAATAGTCGAATTTTTGTGAAAATCAGTTTTTTGAAAAAATAATGTTATTGGTAAAAAGTCCATTTTTTGGAAATTAATTAAAAGTTTTTCTCAAAAATAACTTTTTGCAAAATTTTTGTTGAAAAATAGGTTTTTGATTAAAATTCAATATTAAACCTTTCCATTACTGAAGAAGGTGTTGAATAGGTGTTTCTTTTGAAAAACCAAAATTTCAGCTTTAAACTATTCCTCATCAATTGAGCAATTTATTGTGCAGCATTTTATAAAATAAGTTTACTATTTTTATGAAATCCTCATTAACTTTTTGCAAATTGAAATAATAAATAAAACTTTCTTCAATAACAAATGTAAATCAATGAAAAAATCACCAACATTATTAACTTTATAAATTAAAACCAAAGGAGTATTTTTATCAAACCATTAAAAAAAATGATAATCAATTTGCTGTAAACGGTTTCCTCAATATGTTACCAATAAACAAACAACTGAAAAAAGAACCCAAAAACATTTTAATTTTTAAAGTAAAACACCACATAATCTTAACTTATTATCTAAATTTCCCAACAAATAATTAAATACCCAAGAAAACACGAAAACACGCGCGTAATATAAGAATGGAGAAGAAAAAAAAGCAAATAATTTAAAATTGCTCTACTTTAAAGAGAGTTAGTTAGTTTTATCTTTTATTGTATACGTTTTTCTTTCTTCTTTCTATTCCCCTATTCTTCTACCCTTAATCAATTGCTTATAAAACACATTGATGGATTATCTACAACGCAAACAACAAACAATTTTATAACTAAATTTGATTACTACTTGTGACAACAAATAATCGCAACAATTAGTTAAAGAGTAGCTGGTGTTTAAAGAGCCATGGTAAGCACCAATCTTGTGGTGCCGGTAGTGTTGTGGGGGCCCTCTGCCCCCACACACTGTGTTTCCAGTGTTTTTCTATCAGATGATCAAACAACTTTAGCAACAGGTTGCTATGATGGTCAAATATGCCTGTGGCATGTCGATCCCACTACATTGAAAATGTCACCACGCTGTCTATTGGTGGGTCATACAGCACCAGTCCTTTGCTTGGTAAAAGCCTCCATACTGGCCGATAATAATTTTCTAGTTAGCTCGTCGGAAAAGTGAATGTGAAATGTGCACGTGGGACTTGACAGATGGCAAATGTGCCGAATCGGTAAAATTGCCTCAAGTTCATACACAAATACAAAGTTATCACACAGCAAATAGTAATGATGTTAGACTATTTTGTATTGGTTACTATCCGGAAATCATGGTAATGGATCCATTTAGTCTGGAGGTTATTTACATGTTGAGTTCCAAAGTTAAGCCTGATTGGATATCAGCTTTACATGTTTTGCGACCTATGCGTCGCAAAGATGATGTCGTTTTGGCCATAACCACTACGGGTACGGTGAAAGTGTGGACATTGACCGGTAATGAGAACAAACATGCCGAACCCATTTACGAGAATGAGTCCAAAGAGATACGCTGTCTTAATGCAATAACCATGAATTGTTGCTCTCAAAATCAGCGAACTGTTTTAATTGTTTGCACCAAATACTGGCAAATTTATGATGCTGGCGATTTTACAGTGCTATGCTCGGTGATCGCCCCTACACGAGAACGTTGGCAGGGAGGTGACTTTATAAGTTCCGATCGTGTAATGCTTTGGACAGATGAGGGCAAGGGTTATCTATATAAATTACCCGCCAACTGTATACCCGACAATAAAGAATTCCATTCGAAGAGTGTAGTACGCGACTCTCCCTATCTGTATTATGTGCTACAACATCCGGGTGACAAAGTTTTGTCCTGTCCTCCAGCAATGAAACTTTTACGCACTGATGCTGAGGGTAAACCAGCCACCTATTATCTCCTGAGAGGTGATTCAGAAGGTTTTATTTCAGTGTGGACAGTTCCTGATGTTCCTTTGGACAATATAAGCATATTGCAAGCGAAACAAATGCCTCCGCGTGTTCTCAAACCCTCCGTTTGTACCTCACTAGTGGAAGCTTGGTCCATGATGGATCCCCCTCCCGTGGGCATATTGGACCAGTTGGCCCGTATCACCGATCACCCCGTAAAATTAACTTCCAGCATTTATTTACCCCAACAAAGTCGTTTGGTTATTGGTCGTGAGGATGGCTCAATAGTCATAGTGCCCGCCACACAGACAGTAATGATGCAGCTACTTGTAGGTATTAAGCAAAATTTTAGCGATTGGCCTTCACACCAGATCCTATATGGCCACAGGGGTCGTGTTAATTGTCTGTTGTGCCCCTCATTGGTGCATCCACGTTATGAGAAGTCTTATTTACTGTCTGGAGGTGTAGATTTTGCTGTTTGTCTGTGGGATTTATATAGTGGCAGTTTACTGCATCGCTTCTGTGTACATGCCGGAGAAATCACACAACTTTTAGTGCCACCGGAAACTTGCAGCTCACGTATTCTAAAGTGCATTTGTTCTGTAGCATCGGATCATTCGGTCACGTTGCTCAGTTTGCAAGAGCGTAAATGTGTGACATTGGCCAGTCGTCATTTGTTCCCAGTGGTAACCATTAAATGGCGTCCTTTAGATGACTTTCTTATAGTAGGTTGTTCTGATGGTTCGGTGTATGTGTGGCAAATGGAAACTGGTCACTTGGATCGTGTTTTACACGGCATGTTGGCCGAAGAAGTATTAATGGTATGCGATGAACAAGTGGCCGATGATACCTCTTGTAGTCCAGCCTCTTCTAATGCTGAAATGGGCATGGCCAATCCAGCGGTACACTTCTTTCGTGGTCTTAAATCGCGCAATATGAATGCCATACGTCATGCAACCCAACGCGGCATTACCCAATGGCAACAGCTCCACGGTCACAATCAAGGCAACTTTGATTTTCTTATGAAACACCGCAGCAATCCCTTGATAATACAAGGACTGCGCACCAACCCAAAAGATGCTGAAAGTCATATACTGTTCTTCGATATAGAGGGTTTGATATTTGAGCTACACAGCGAAGAATATGCACAAATGACTCCCAGTGAGTTGGAGGCTTTGGGTGTGGTTCTCAACAACCAAAAAGATAAAACTTTGCACTTGGAGGCTTCCAAGAAAATCAGCGATTTCTTTGGTAAGGTCAAAAACAAGGCCGGCGACATGGAAAAAATACTAAAGGATAAAGATAAACATGGTTTTGTGCAAAAATTCAAAGAAAAAACTGAAATTGTGGAGAAAAAGGTGCAGGCCAAGGTACAGGAGAGTCTACAGAAGGTGGTGGTAGAACCACAAGAACAGGACAGCGAAAATACAGACTTGAAAAGTAAAATTGCCTCCAAAATGGAAGTTACCAAAGTCATGGAGGTGGCTCAGCTACTCTTATCTTTGCTGCATTCCTGGGGTTTGGATCCTCACCTAGACAAAGTGTGTGAATCGCAATTGGGTCTCTTAAGACCAATGGTGCCCGTCTCATTTGGCATACTATCCAAAGGAGGCTACATGTCGCTATTGCTGCCCACTTGGCAGAATAACTTTGAAATACCCGAGGGCATGAAAGTGGTAGCTCCTAGCAGCTCAAAGAAACGTGACATTCCAGCCGAATTACTAAGACAAGAAGAACTAACTGCAGTGTTTACTTCACGCTTGCACTGGGAATTGAGCACCACCCTAACATCCAATCATATATTGGCTTTGGTGGCCATGTCCAACACTTTGCTCTCCATGAATTCGGCCTCATTTTTGCCCGACAGCGAAAGAAGCAAAAAACTAATGCGTCTGGCTCAGCGCAGTGATTCTACGCTCACAACCGAAGAACAACATGAAGACCTATTGGCTCATCATATATCGCAAATAAAACAAGGCTGGAGTCTTTTATCCACTCATCATTGTTTCCTATTGCCCGATAAAATCGAAGCCTTAGAACCAAAGAAATTCAAACGACCTCAGGTGGAAATGATGGCCAAACGCTGGCAACATCATTGCATAGAAATACGTGAAGCAGCTCAGCAAATTCTCTTAGGAGAACTCAGACGTATGGGCAAGCGTGGACGCAAACAGTTGGTTGAAAGCTGGGCTCAATATCTACCCATGTATACGCACACAGAACCAATCGCTCAACAGCATGTGCAAAACACAAATGGCGCCAATGGCCATAATACTTCTGGTGGTTCAGCTGTAAGTGAAGTCGACAATGGCGGTGAAGACTATGAAGAAGAGGAAGAAGAAATCATACGCAAGCCGTCCAGTTTATCCGAATTGAAGCGAAAACAAACTACAGCCGTTATACTGTTGGGTGTAATAGGTGCTGAATTTGGTCAAGATATTAACCAAGATTCCCCAAGTAGAACTTCGGCCGGTGGTAGTGTGGCAGAACGTCGTAAATCTTCTGTTGTAGAAGGTTTTGGTATAGCTAACAATTTGGCACGTTTAACATCAATGGCTTTGGCTCATCTTCTCTATGCCCCACCTTCACCAAAGTTGCCTCAATATACCCCTCTTCGACGGGCTGCTATAGATTTATTGGGACGCGGTTTTACCGTTTGGGAACCCTATTTGGATGTCAGTAAAGTGTTACTGGGACTGTTGGAATTGGCTTGTGAGGGCAAATCTGTACCCAATTTGAACTATAAACTTCCTTTAACACCACAAGCCGATGCTTGTCGTACTGCACGACATGCCTTACGTTTAATAGCCACTGCTCGTCCAGCCGCCTTTATAACAACAATGGCTCGTGAGGTGGCACGTTATAATAGTATGCAACAAAATCCACAATCCATTAATGTACCACTTACACAATCTGTCCTCTACAAAGCCAAGGGTGAGATACTCCAATGCGTAGAAATGTTAATAGATAAAATGCAAGCTG